TAGGGTAACTCTTGCTTTCTTTAAGACGCGTAATGGAAGTCCTGAAGGAAATGGAGCCCGATCGTAAATGTTATCGTTTAGTTGGTGAATCTACTTTAGTGCAGTATAAAGTGGGAGATGTACTTGATATACTTGGTGGCAGTTTACTAAATGTAAGTACTTGGACAACTTGCTTCTACCTCTGTTGCTGTCCAAAAGTATTTTGAAACAAATTCTTTTTTCTATTTTTACAATTACACTGTTAGTTGTTTTTATGTACCATTTCAAAGTGATTTGCTTTGAAAGAAATCAAGCAATGTTTGCTTGTTTGTTTATTTTTATTTTTTCAGTTGGACAAGGGTTACGACACAATGCAAGAAGAGTTAGTTAACAAAGGCAAGGAACTCAATGAATTTCGAGAAAAAAATAACATACGTTTAGTGACTGAAAAAGAGGCCTTGGAACTGAGGCAAACTCATGGTTCTACCGCATCAAGATAAATCAGGACTGCAAACGATTTATGGATGCTTAATTACGGTTTAAATTTCTGCTTCTTATCTTATAAACTTAACTGAAATAAAAAAATTTATTGGTCATGGTAAAATTTGATCTCATTGTGTTGTACAAGTGTGAAAATAATAAACAGTAGTTATTGTAAACTGAAGGCCACCAATTAATTGGTATAGAATTTATCTTCTTGGAAAGTGCTTAATTGGCCTTATTTCTAAAAGTATTTTGCACTTGTTTTTTCTTGATGTGGTGAAAAACTAATCAGTATTTCTTTAACTTTGTTAAATATTGAGTTTCTGATTTAGACTGTTTAATGAATATGATTTAATTGGGTTTTCTGGGACTGGAACTGTGTTAATGGAGCTTTATAATACAGCGACGCCTTATTTTTTCATTCCTTTATAAACTTTTCTGCTTTGATCTTTGTCCTGGTACTCCGGTTACTAGTGGCCAACGGAATTTGCTGTGACGTTTTTTAAGCGAACTGAGTAATAGATGTGGCTTCAAGAAGTTTAGTTTAAATTATGCTTTTACTTTTCTGTACTCTCTGTACGGTTCTTTTTTTTCTTGGCTTTATAAATTTTACGTAAAGTTTCGCTCGGTAACGGAGCTTTTACTGTATTAAATTTTGGTGCCTTGCCTAAGTCGTCACTGTTGGTGATAGAGGTGGTGTTCACAATTTCTGATGACTCTCGTAGAATACATATTTGACTTTTGCTGTTGACTTGCGTCTGTTCTTCGTTCTGCTTAAGTAATTTGTTACGTCATTTAATAAAGACGCCTCATTGCAAGCTTTGATGGAGTACGGTTCACAGGGGATAGCGTGGTCTTTTGTCTTTTTTTTTTTTACATTTTTATGGCTTAGCTTTTAAATTTGTTGCCGAAGGTGATTAAGTTGTTGCTTTTATTTTTTCTGTTGCACTTTATTCCGGGTACATCTCCGTTTCGGCTTTGGCTGAACTGCTAGAGGTGGCAGTGAAACAAATCTCAGTGTGCGTCTTTACCGCTGAGATCATTAAGGAAGGAAAAGAGATGTCAGACATCAGTAGGCACAAATTCCAAACGAGTAATCCATCTGTGCGTTCATAGCAATGAAATTTGGGTTACGAAGCGAGTAATTTTCATTTGAGCTCAGGCAGCAGCTGAAATGGCCTCTGATTCTGTGTAGTACTGTAGTTGGCTTTATTTTGGTGATTAGTTCCACTTTTTTCTCTAGACACTTGTGGATTTGTGATCTGAGATTGTCATCATTAAGTGGGCATCAGTGGTTGCAATCTTGCGAAGGTGTTTGGCAAGTTTGAAAAATGTGCTTTATGCGGTTTGGTGCTGTACTGTGATTAAAAATACCAGCTAGAATGAAGCTCAGTAAACCTATATTTAACTGTGGCCCTCCATCAAAGGTAGAGTTCCAAGTTATTCAACTAATCTGCATTTCGTTTCTTACAACTTTTTTACTTCTGCATTTTTCTTGGAAGTTAAAAATTCTTTTTCTTCCAATGAAGCTGTGACACTGAATTTGCTACTGTGTTTGGCTTATTGAAAAAAGATGCAGTGGCAATGTTGTAAAAATAATTTAGTATATCGCAGTGCAAATAAGAGTTTTTCCACTCGACTAGTGCTGGAAAAGATTGTTTTGAGATCTTGCAGGAGGACAGATATGGCAATGAAATAAGGGTTGCTGATTTAGGAGAGGGCCCACAAGGGTAAGTTTGATTTTCGGTCTTTCATGCAACAATCTATGAATTGGTTGGCCAGTCAGTTTTTCAGTCGTTATCCATTTGTATTCATTCTTCTTCTCCCTACTTTTTTATTCAAACATCCCGTACTCCATTAGCTTAGAGTACAGTTGTGGTATGGTCATGTTGGGCTGCTCAGTAACATTACTTGGAAATCCAATCTTAGTGAATCATTTCCGTTAATACAGCCATTTTTCGATTGTTTGAGCAAAATTTTTTTTTCGCGTCTATTTTTTATGTTTGCACCATTGGAAACGGCAAGATAAGCCTTTATTTTGACGATAGTATTTGTGTGAGTGGAAAAAAAAAGAAAACGAATGAACGAACAAGCGAAATGAACGGAGAAAAATCCGTTCGGACAAAACAGAGGAGGAGAGGAATCGAAATTTTTTTGGCCAAATGCAGATTGAATGTGCGCTATAAAAAGCGTTTTTTGCCCAGTCTTTTTTTTTTTTTTTTGTCGTTATTTAACCGTCTATTTTTTTTCTGAATCTTAAGTACTGTTCGGGAAAACATTTCTTACCACTGTAAAAGCATGAGAAGATAAAATATAAAAGTTGAATTTTTGCATAAAATTTTCTGTCAAATACTTTAACTGAATATTTTGTGTTTATTGAAGCTGAAGGGAGGGGGGGGGGGTCGGGTTGAAAAGGCGAAAGGGGAGAGGCAGTATAAACCAACTGTGAGGGCAAATATTCAATGAAGAACAAAGAAGAAGAAAAACTAATAATATAGGTAATCTTCAATTTATGGTGATTGTGTTGTTATTTAAGCACAAATTTTTCTTCTCTTTCTATCATTTATTATGCGGCAAACATGAATTTGTATGTTTGATGATTGAGGGATTAAAAGATCCTTTTTTTTTATGCTTCTGTTTACCACTCTGTTTTCAAATATCAAATATCCAAGGTTTTTGGAAAAAAAAAAGAACTGCTGTTGTTTTATTTATTTATCTATTTTTCGCGACAGCCAATTTCATTAGAATAGAT